AGCAAAGCTAGGATAGAATCTATGCCGGTGTTTTGTTCAGCTGATCAATGACTGAGTATTCCTTGGCTTGTATCTTTCTCCAGAGATCATCGGGCCTAGTTTCAGTGATGTTCGGCCAACCAGAGGCCTGCTTACTCGACTCAGCTAAATGCTCCATAGTATAAACCTTGTCGATTCTTGTCATACCTTGTGTCGCAACTGTTTCCCCGAACTTGGCCTTCCCTTTCCTTCTCGCCTCGGTTGTGTAATCCCAAGGTATGGCATTTGTATGGAACGGTCTTACATCTGACATTGCTACTGGAATGGGCACCTTTACTCCGAATGGAGCATGCATTTTGGAGGGTAAAACCGCAACTTCAAACAGTGTATTTGCTAGAGACCCAAACTCGACCTCAATTGGTGTTGGCGTCTTTGCAAGGGGTGGTGCTTCAAACTCAAGTGGTACAGACATGTTTACCTTGGCATCCCCAGAAGGCTGAGTCTGGACTACAATCGGATTGAGGGTGAGTATTGGCTTCTTTGGTTCGTCGCCTTCTATGATCAAACCGATCGATCCTTTGGGATCCCAATCATCCTGTATTTAAATCATGTGAACACCTCCACCCTTATGGTCCGGCAGAGGGTTGTTGTGGACATTCAGAGTAGGCTCCTTTGCCACAATGATCTTGTTATCAATCAAAGTCTGGATCTTATCTTTAAGAGAGCGGCATTCATCAATGGTATGCCCTTTCATGCCGGAATGGTATGCACAAGATTTATTTGGATTGATCCACTGAGAAGGGTTTTCAGGGGTTATAGAAGGGATAAGGGTGACATAACCAGCAGCTTTGAGCCTTTCGTACAACTGGTCAATCGGTTTAGCAATGGCGGTATACTGTTTGGGAGGTCAGCGGTCAAAATTTGGTCGAGGTCAAGGAAAGTTTTGGCACATTGTTTTGCCCGAAAATGAAAAAAAACAAAGAAGTGCTTTTGTGAATCTTTATTCCCTCGTAAAAGAAGTAGTAGGACGCATTGATTCAACGATGAAGAAATGGATGGAAATGCAAAACAAGCTCAAGAACATCCAAGATCTTAAAGCACAAGATTTGTCTCTTGTTAGTACGTCACGACATGGCTTAGAGCCTGAGGATAAGATGGTTGGCCTTGAAAATGAATTCAAGATGATGCAGGATGAACTTGCTAGAGGAGCAAGGGAACTAGAAGTTTTCTCAATTGTCGGGATGGGAGGGCATCGGCAAGACAACTTTTGCTAACAAAATCTATAGTGATCAATTCATTATGTCTCACTTTGACATTCGTGCAAAAGCAACAGTTTCACAAGAGTATTGTGCGAGAAATGTGCTTCTGGGCCTTCTTTCTTCTATAAGTGGAAAGACCAATGAATTTCAAGAGCAGCAAGATGATGATCAACTAGCAGACTGACTACAGAAGCTTCTAAAATGCGGCAGGTACTTGGTAGTCATTGATGACATATGGACTAGAGAAGCGTGGGATGGTATAAAGCGATGTTTCCCAGACTGTAACAATGGGAATACTCATGACCATTAGGAATGTGGAGGTGGTTGAATGTGCTAGCTCAGGTAAGGCTCCTTATCATATGCGCCTCATGAGTTTTGATGAAAGTTGGAGTTTGTTGTACGAAAAGGTCTTTGTGAAAGACTATTTTTCCCTTGAATTTGAACAACTTGGCAAAACAATTGCACTAAATTGTGGAGGATTACCTCTAGCACTTGTTTTGATTGCCGGACTTCTCTCCAAAATTGGTAAATCATTGGTTGAGTGGAAAAGTATTGTCAAGAATGTAAGCTCAACGGTAAATACAGAGGTTAATGTCCAATGCATGAGGGTGGTTGCATTAAGTTACCATTACTTGCCTCATCACCTAAAACTGTGCTTTCTATATAGTGCAATCTTCCAAGAGGATGAACTAGTTTTAGTCAATAAACTTTTGGAATTATGGGCAGCAGAGGGATTTTTGAAGGTAGAAGAGAGGAAAAGCATAGAAGAAGTGGCAGAAAAATGTCTACAAGAGCTTATAAATAGAAGTTTAATTTCCATCCGCAATTTGAGTTTTGATGGAAAAATTGAGATTTGTGGAATGCATGATGTGACCCGTGAACTCTGCTTGAGAGAAGCTCGAAACATGAACATTGTGAATGTTACGAGGGAAGAGAAGTATCAAAATCCATGTGTGCAATCTATGCATTTTTCCTCTAAGAGCCGAGGTCGGATCAGTATCCAAGCGATCAAATATGAGCCTGATACTGAGAAAATACTGGCAAGGTATCCTAAAAATGATGTTCGTTCTATTATCCGTTATAGAGTGAAAATGCTCATGCCAAAGTTGTTACAGTTCAAGCTAGTAAGAGTACTAGATTTTGCTTTAATGAGATTTTCTGCTTTTCCTAGTTTGATTCTTGATTTAATTCACTTGAGATACCTAGCTTTGAGTCTTTCTCCTAGCTTGCAACATTATCTAAGAGAAGAGATTTCCTCATCTTTTTCAGTAGACATTCCTCCATCTATATCTAGCCTATGTTATCTGCAAACTTTTACAGCCTAATGCCCGGGAATATCCTCTAGTATTACCATACGAAATTTTGACGATGCCACAATTGAGGCACCTCCATTTGTCTGGAATTACTTGCAGTATCATGATCCTACGAAGAAAAGTTTGGTTCTGAAAAATTTGCAATGTCTGTCTGGATTGAATCCCTGGCATTGTACTAGGTCCGTCTTTAGACAATTTCCCAATTTAAAGAAGTTGCAAATATGTGGCATCGGGGAAGACTTTCGTAGTCACAAGGACCTCTATGATTTTCACTATTTAGATAAGCTCTAGGAATTAGATATTGCTATTACTTATTCATGTTATGCTTGCTTTCTAGAAGGCATTACATCTTCAGGCCTTTTGAGGTTCACGAGGAAAAAATGACGAGCAATTTTGCTGGAGAGACCATCTCGGGCCCTTCCTCCTACAGAAACTTTTCCATATTTAATCCTTCCTCCAAATGCTTTTCCGCAGAACCTCAAGAAACTGGCTTTTTACGGGACTTGTTTGCAGTGGAAGAATTTGAGCATTGTTGGTAAATTGCCCAAACTCGAGGCCCTTAAACTGGGAATTAGTCCCTGCATAGGCATTGAGTGGAAGGTAGTTAAGGATGGTTTTCCTAGCTTGAAGTTTTTGCTACTGGAACGTTTGAAGGTTTGCTACTGGAGAGCCAGTTGTGATCACTTTCCGTGCCTTGAACGACTATTTCTTGAACATTGCTGGAATTTGGATTCAATCCCTCAAGATTTTGCAGATATAACCACCCTTGCTTTAATTGATATTAGGTGGTGTGCAGAATCTGTTGGGAATTCTGCCAAACAAATTCAAGAGGATATTCTAAACAACTATGCAAGTTTTGTTGAGGTCAATATCCATGAGCCTCGGTAAGACATCTTCTTCCTTGATTTACTTCTTATAATTGTTGCTTGTGGTTGTATTTTTGTGTCAAAATTATAAATGCTAAAACTTGTTTGGTCAAGAGTATAGTAAACAGATAGTCTTACGTTAGATTCATAGGTTAATAATCCTCTTAAATGTCCATGATTCTTAGTTTGTTGCTCTGGTAGCCATACTTTCATTAGCGGGCATGTCCAGTATGAATTTAGTTCTGCGCACTGCTGTATATTTTGTTATATCATTGTGTAAATTGATCTACACCAATATATAACTCTTCATAGTAAGCTCGATATAGTAACCTAGATAATGGAGTAATAACCTACTCTAACAAGTTAAATCGCATTGATATTGTGAAAATCATCTTCTATAAGTTAAATCCGTCAAATAATAACGTGTAACATGTTATACATACATGCACATTCTTGCTATAATTTTCTCTTGTTCATTAATTTTGAGAAATCTAACATTTCATTTTTCATCCTTTATGGATATTTCCCTTTTCTGCAGAAAAAGGCCATAAGGACCAAGCGGTTGAGCAGCAAGAACTGCAACTGTGGAAGCTCTTTCTCAGCTACTTCCCACTCCGTATTAATATTTGAGGAACCATACTTGCTCTAATTGTTGTAACCGATTCTGTTGGGAATTCCGCCAAGCAGATTCAACAGGACATTTAAGATAACTATGCAAGTTCTGTTGAGGTCCATATCACTTAGGTTGGAATTGGATTTTTCAAATTTCAATGTATTTTTCATTTTGGTTGTGTTTTTTCTAAATATTGGTAGGTTGGAATTGGATTTTTGTTGAGTCTTTTCTAAATGTTGGTAGGTTATAAGAGAAACTAGACGTGTATAAACAAGTAAGGAAATTAAATTTTCTTTTGCTATTATACATAAACTTTGAAAGAGAAGTGGAGCCTTGGTGTAATTGGTAAAGTTGGTGTCATGTGACCAGGAGTTCACGGGTTCGAGTTGTGGAAAGAGTGCCTCTTGCAAAAATGTAGGGTAAGGCTGCATACAATAAACCCATGTGGTCCAGTCCTTCCTCGGACCTCGCACATAGCGGGAGCTTAGTGCACCGGACTGCCCTAGACATAAACTTTGAAAGACCACTAAATAGCACAGAATAGTCACACGTTCTTACCTATCTTATAAATAGGATGCATTAATTCACATAACAACAATCAAGTGAAAAGATGCCTTACTAGCCTAACTGATGCCTTACTAGCCTAACTGATATGTAACTCAACAGAGTTTGCATAGTTTTTTCCATTATCCTGTTGAATCTGCTTGGCAGAATTTTTACTAACAGATTTTGGACAGTTGCTTATAACAATTAGCTCGAGCATCGTCATATCTACAAAATCTTGTGGGATAGAATCCATGTACCAACAACCATCAATTGCGTACATGGATTCCATTCAGAGGGAGACTAAAAATTTCTCAGAAACAAACTCCTCTCGCCAAGCAAATGAAGACGAAAGTAATTCCAGTCTAAAGAAAGATGCCGCAATTGGGACATCTTCAGAATTTCATATGGTAATATGAAAGGAAAATTCTAGCGCCATTGAGGAAACTTAAGTACAAAAGTTTGCAGATACTGAAGGTTAGCTATTGAGGAAGGAAAATAAATTGTCTAATAAATGTACAAGTCAGCTAAGTATCTCAAAACTCAAAAGTATATCATTTGCTATTATAAAAGTAATTCAACCAAAAGTACGACCTAAAGGACGTAACGAAAACAGACCTCAATAGAACCTCCATAGTTGTCTTCAATTTCTTGTTGAATCTTCTTGGCAGAATTCACAACTGACTCCTTACACATGCGTATATCAATTAGCTGAAGAGTGGTTATTTCTACAAAATCTTCAGGGATCGAAATCATATTCGCACATTCAACAAGGAATAGTCGTTCAAGGCGTGGAAAGTGATCACTACTGGCTCTCCAGTGTCTAATGCCCAAGCGACTCAATAGCAAGAACTTCAACTGCGGAAACCCTTCCTCGGTTACTTCCCATTCCATACCAATATTGGAGGAACAAAATTTTAGTTTGAGGGCCTCGAGTTTGGGCAGCTTACTGAGAATCCTCAAATCCTCTAAATTTACATGAGTTTTGCTAAAAGATAATTTCTTAAGGTTCTTCGGAAAAGCTTCAGGATGAGGAAGTGTCGAATGTGGCATCCCGTCAAATTTCAATTCCTCAAGCTGATCTAAGTTACAAAGATTATGGAGGCCCTTCATTTCGTTACTTGTTATGTACTCTTCATGGTCGCCGGATATCTGCAACTTCTTTAAATTGGGAAATTGTTTAAAGACGGATGAAGTACAGCATAAAGGATTCCACCCAGACAGACACTGCATATTATTCAAAATCAAACTTCTCTCTCCAAACTCACAAGTATCCGAGTTATTCCTGTCCAAGGAGAGGTGCCTCAATCTCCACAAATTGAAAATTTGCGATGGTAAAATGAAAGAAAATTTAGGGCATCTAAAATATTTTGGAAACTTAAGTATAAGACTTTGTAGATATTGAAGCCCATTTATTGATGGAGGAACATAAATATCCTGATCATCCGTGGACGAGTAAAAAGTCAAAGCTAGGTATCGCAACTGAAATAAACCAACTATACAACTGGGAAAAGCATCCAACGTTGGTGAAGCAAGTTCTAGTATTCTTACTTTCTTAAAACGCTCCAATTCTTGCATTATTCCTGAGTTTGAGGGATTTCGAATAAAAAGGAGAATAGAATGTGCCTTACTATAAAGAACCATGGCCAACTGATTGGCAACAAAAGAGGATTCCTCTGATTGGATACAGATCCGGCGCTTTGTGGAAAAATGCATGGATTGTTCACAAGGATTCTGATTTTCCATAATAACATTCACAAAATTTAACTTTCTAGCTTCTCTCAAGCAGAGTTCACGGATCATGTCATGCATTCCACAAGCTTTGATTTTTCCATCAAAACTCAAATATCTGATGAAAATTAATCCTCTATCTACAAGATCTTTTAGATATTGTTCTGCCACTTCTTCTATGCTTTTTTCCCTTTCTCTCTTCAAAAAGCCCTCTGCTGCCCAGAATCTCACAAGTTTATTCACAAATATCAATTCATCCTCCGGGAAGATTGCAAAATAAAGAAAGCACGGTTTTAGGTGATGAGGCAAGTGATGGTAACTTAATGCCAACATCCTCATGCATGGGACATCAGGATCTGTACTTACCATGGAAACTATATTCTCGGCAATATTTTCCCACTCATTCAATGATTGCCCAATTTTCAGGAGAAGTCCAGCAATTACAACAATTGCTAGAGGCAATCCTTTGCAATTTAATGCAATTTGTTTCCCAATATTTTCAAATTCAGGAGGAAAATATGTGTTCTCAAAGACTTTTTTGTGCAGTAAATACCAACTTTCATTAAAATTCAAGAGACGCATTTGATAAGGAGGGTTACCTGAGCTAGCATATTCAGCCACTTTCATATTCCGAGTAGTCAAGAGTATCCGACTCCCACAGTTACAATCTGGGAAACATAGTTTTACATCATCCCAAGCTATTGTAGTCCATATGTCATCAATGACTATCAAGTACCTCTTGCCTTTCAGATACTTTTGCAATCGATCTGCTAGTTGCCCATCATCTTGCTGCTCGTAAAATTCACCAATAGTTCCACTTCCACTAATAGAAGAAAGAATGCCTAAGAGTACATTTCTCTTGCAATACTCTTGCGAAACAATAACTTTTGCACGAATGTCAAAGTGAGACATAATGAACGGATCATTATATAATTTGATCGCCAAAGTTGACTTGCCGATGCCCCCCATCCCCACAATTGAGATAACTTGTAGCTCAGTTGCTCCTCTAGCAAGTTGATCCTGCATGATCTCAAATGCATTTTCATGGCCGACCATCATATTCTCGGACTGAAAGTCATGTTGAGATGTATTGGCGACAATCAAATTTTGTGCTCTCAGATCTTTGCTGTTCTGCATAGCCAACCACTTGTTCATCTTGGAGTGAATGCGAGTTGGTGCTCGTTTCAAGAGGGAACGAAGTCTCCAAAATGCTACTCTTCGTTTAATCGTGGTTTTTGCCTTAATAGCTTTTCTTGTTTTCAAAATAATCATATCTTCTGTGGTGTTCAGTAGCTCTATAATTTCAGCTTCCATCATTGTCAATACCTCTAAATCGCCTGTTATATTGCACGGTTTCTCAAGAATAGCTCTAAAGGATTTTAACTTTTCTATGAACGGTTGCAGGTAAATATCAGCATGTTGCGGGAAATCAAGTATGGTTGTAATAAGAGAAGTAATAGCAGCATAAGCCATATATGTCTCTGTTTCTCTCTTATTTGTGTGAGATACAATAGGCAGTTTCTGCACAAAGAAGAATGCAGAATCTCTCAGTATGATAAACGGACGAAACTTAACAGTTGCTTCTCATTTTCTCCTATATCCAATATAAAACATAAATTAAGTAGGCATTTGGATATTAATATAATTTTGATCTGTTTTTGAACTTGTGAGTGATCTAAAGTGAAAATTTTGAAAAATATCTTTTTGAAGTTTTTAAAATTTTTTGAAAATTCCGAAATTCATCTTCAAGTAATAATCAAAAATTTCATGGTCAAACACAAATTTCGAAAAAAAAAAAAAGTAAGAAAAAAATTTGAAACAAAAACTCTTTTTTACGGCCAAACGGACCCTAAAACAGAAAGAGCAAATTAAAGGTTTTTCTTTTATTTCTTGACACAAATTACCTTCCATCACATTTCCTCTAGTCTCCATCAACCACCTGGAAGCCAAGCTCTACTTTAATTTAGTTTTACACTTACTAGTCTGAATAATCGAAAAAATATTTAAGAATACATTATTAAATTTTTAATACTCTTAAATGTTTATTACATTTTGCTTCTTAAGAGTCCTGCTGTATAAACTTTAATTAATATTTTAAAATTGTAATTTTTCAATATCCATAAAAAAAAAATTCTTTTTCAGTATTACTCGCATTTCTCTTTGTCCATGTTTACATTTTTCTTTTTTCTTTTTTTGGTCAATACATTTTTCTTTTAGTTTAAAGAGTAAACAGTTTTTGTCTGTTTTTAAATTTAGATATAATTAATATATTGGAAATCTTCTTCAATCAGTGTTACCACATTTAGTTGTTATTTCTGCCAAGTGGGTGGTGGCCAGCACTACTTTTTTGACTTTAATGGCCACATTTTTCACCGGGACAGGAGGTAGTGTTTTAGTGATAAGTTTAATTGAATTCATAATTTTTTATGCGCAATATAAATATTTATATATAAAAATATATTATAATTATAAAAATAATAGATATGAACCTTAATCTATCTATCTATCTATATCTACCTATATTATTATAAAAACACGAATGCTAAAACGTTAAATATTAAACGACTTAAATATTCTTGAATTATTGATCGACTTTTATACCCTGAATTAAGTTACCTTCTATGTTGGATAAAATTGTAATCTCTATTAAGTTTAATACTATATATGAACTAATATTTAAGATTTTCAAGTTGGCTAAGAATTCATCGCTTTCAGTACAGCAACAACAACATCATCGCTTTCAGTCTCCTACCAAAACTTTTAACTTTGTCTTTGTCTTTCAATAATAAATACTTAACCTACTTTAGAAAAACTATTAGCAAATTTTCGTCCTACTTCAACCATATCTTCTCTCTTTTTTGTTGTTGCATATGTGCTTTATATATGTACTTCACGAATAATTATTCAAAATAAATTTCAAAAAATATCTGGTCAAGAAGTAGTTTCGCATGCCCCGTCAAGATTTATGTTTTAAATGTTTCAGTTCTACCTTTTGTTCGTGCAATTTTATTTTTTATATATATCATGTCAGTCTATTACTTTTTTTTTCAACATGCAAGTCTATAATTCAATTCGGTAAAAGTTTTCTTATTAGACGGTAAAAGTCACTTTGTTGATTTGTTGTTGCTATCCGTTATTTTTTCCTTTTTCTGGTCGCATTTGGTTCGAGTATCCCCAAAAGCAAGGTGTGAAATTCTTGGAGGGAAGGATGTCGGAGGTCTATTTGAAAACAGCCTCACTACCCCAGGGTAGGGGTAAGGTCTGCGTACACACTATTCTCCCCAGACCCCACTTAGTGGGATTATACCGGGTTGTTATTGTTGTTGTCTGGTCGTATTTGGTTCCGATTTTTGGTTGATAGGACCGTAATATGTGGATGTAAAAGTAGGTATAGTCATCGTTGTAAAAAGTTACACAAGTTTCAGCGGTAAAAAATGAGAGGAGCTAACAGGAAAAATGTACAAGGCAGTAGTATTAACTACAATCATGAATTCATGAAAATGATTGTTCACATGTGAAACGGTACAATTAAATTTACAGCGTGGTTTATAGACAAACAAATTAATTTGACTCTAAAATAATAAATATAAATGGAAAGAGTAAGACTTAGTATTGAAATCGAGACAAATAACAGATAACTTGATTCCGGGAGCAAGGCTTCCGAAGGCGACAGTAAGAATAACGTTAGACAGAAAGTAAAACATTATTTAGCTTGAGAATAATGTGTAACATAAGTTTTTCTAGAGATTTCATGTGTTATAATGATTGTTGAAGCAGCTATTTATAGTTATACCTAGGGAAACAGGTCCTAGGACATGCCCATCTTAAATGACAATAATTGGGGTAATTGATGAATGTGTAATGGCAGCCCATGAAGCCAAAATTTTCTGTAATGGCTGTGTTATTTAATACTGAGGAATATTCTTTAGTAAATGTCATCGGGTGACAAACATTCATTCACTTCCATTGACTATGTTTACTTCGGGATCTTCCCGGTGCCAACTGAAACTATTGTCCTCGGACTTGGTTCCTACTTGCTTCATCTTCCTTATGCCTCTGATTCCACGTGTCACGTTATTATTCGAGTCTTTAATATAAACCAATTTTACCCTATACAGATAGTCCCCCTACTTTTTGATGGCACATTTTTGTGTCACCGGTATGTTGGTGAAGATTTTTTTCTTGGCAAAAAAGTTTCCGAACCCAAGAAAGAGAGAGAGATATTATTGATCTTGTGTAGTGTAGTTGGAGTGACAACAGCCCCTTACAAAGTGGTATGGATTCCCTTTATATAGGAGAGGGAATACAATATAGTACAGAGTGCATTAAATGTAAAGATATGGGGATGAGACGGCTAGGCACGATGCTAGACTCTGCTGATGTTGATTGCTCGCCTTGGGAATTCCCTACCCTCGGGATCTTTGTTGGGTCGTGGGTGAACCTCGGGGGAGGGAGCTCAATCGTAGTCCTGCAGCCTCGAGATACTGATATGACCCCCCGAATGCACCTTAGTGGTGGGAAATAGATTCCTCCGATTTCACCGTGTACACAAGGCTTTCCATCTGCTTCTTCCTCGACATGATCACAATATGCTTATGGATCCTCACCGGAATGGAATCAATATAGTTCTTATCTGGATGTTGTATCATTTATGACAAAGTGGCTAATGCATCGGCGAACTCATTCTGAATTCTGGGCACATGTCGGAATTTTATCTTTGTGACCTCCTTTTCAATTCCTGCACATGGTGCAGATATGGCAATATCTTGGAATTCTTGGTAGCCCATTCTCCTTGCACCTGGTGCACAAGCAAATCTGAATCGTTGATCACCAACAACTCCTGAATGTTCATGTCGAATGCCATGCTGAGCCCTAGTATGCAGTCTTCATACTCCGCCATGTTGTTGGTGAAGAAAAATCTGAGTTTAGCAGATACGGGATAATGCTGACCCGTTTCTAATACCAAGACTGCTCTAATGCCTACTCTTTTGAAATCTGTGGCTCCGTCAAAGAACATTCTCCAATCATCATATGCTTCCGTAATGTCTTCTCCTACGAATGATACTTCTTCATCGGGAAAATACGTTTTTAAGGGTTCGTATCCTCATCCCACTGGATTTTCGGCGAGGTGATCTGGCAATGCTTGTCCATTGACTGTCTTTTGAGTTACATAGATGATGTCGAGCTCACTCAATAGTATCTGCCATTTAGCCAACTTCCCAGTAGGCATGGGCTTCTGAAATATGTACTTCAGAGGATCCATCCTGGATATGAGGTATTTAGTATAGGCACAGAAATAGTGCCTCAATTTTTGGGTTGTCCGGGTCAAAGCACAGCAAGTGCATTCAAGCAGAGAATATCGTACCTCATAAGGTGTGAATTTCTTACTCAGGTAATATATGGCTTGCTCCTTTCTTCCTGTCTCATCATGTTGTCCTAAAACACATCCAAAGGCACCATCTAACATGGATAGATAAAGTAGCAAAGGTCTTCCTCGCTCTGGCGGGACCAGAACTGGCGGTGTGGACATATATTCCTTAATCTTGTCAAAAGCTTTCTGACAATCCTCAGTCCAACTTGTCTCGGCATCTTTCCTCAGCATCTTGAAGATGGGATCACATATTACTGTGGACTGTGCTATAAATCGGCTGATGTAGTTGAGCCGTCCCAGGAAGCTCATCACATCCTTTTTACTTTTGGGTGGTGGTAAATCTTGAATAGCTTTGACTTTAGTCAGATCTAGCTCGATCCCTCGGCGACTGACAATGAATCCCAATAACTTTCCTGCGGGAACCTCGAATGCACACTTTGCAGGGTTCAACTTCAAATTGTACCTCCTGAGCCTATCAAAGAATTTCCTCAAGTCTGCTATGTGATCTGCATCCCTCTTGGATTTGATAATGACGTCGTCCATATACACTTTTATTTCTTTGTGTATCATATCATGAAAAATGGTTGTCATGGCCCTTATGTAAGTGGCCCCTGCGTTCTTCAGACCGAATGGAATCATCTTGTAATAGTATACACCCTAAGGCATAATAAAAGCTATCTTCTCGGCATCTTCTTCATCCATCCAGATCTGGGGATAACTTGCGAAGCAATCTACAAAGGATTGGAGTTCATGCTTGGCGCAGTTATCGATCAGGATGTGTATATTTGGCAGTGGAAAGTCATCTTTGGGACTTGCTCTGTTTAAATCCCGATAATCAACATATACCCTGACCTTCCCATCCTTCTTCGGAACTGGCACAATGTTAGATAACTAGGTTGGGTATTCAACCACCCTGAGAACTTTGGCTTTGATCTTCTAGGTAACTTCCTCCTTGATCTTCAAACTCATGTCTGGTTTGAATTTTCTGAGTTTCTGCTTGACTTGCAGGTACATGGGATTGGTATGCAACTTGTGAGCTACTATAGATGTGCTCAAACCGGTCATATCTTCATACGACCATGCGAAGATATTCTCATATTCCTTTAGAAAACGAATATACTTTTCCTTCTCTGTTGGCGACAAGTGAATGCTGATGCGGGCCTCTTTGACGGTCTCG